CTTCCACCTGACCCTAACTACCAAATAAGGCACCACTGCAAGGGTCAAGGTCCAAGAGTTGTGGCAATATTTCTTTTTTTTTTTTTTTTTTTTTTTTTTTTTTTTGAGACGGAGTCTCGCTCTGTAGCCCAGGCTGTAGTGCAATGGCGTGATCTCGGCTCACTGCAAGCTCCGCCTCCCGGTTTCAAGCGATTCTCCAGAGTAGTCCCAGCCTCCTGAGTAGCTGGAACTACAGGCACGTGCCACCACGCCCAGCTAATTTTTTGTATTTTTAGTAGAAACGGGGTTTCACCATGTTGGCCAGGATGGTCTCAATTTCTTGACCTCGTGATTTGCCCACCTCGGCCTCCCAAAGTGCTGGAATTACAGGCATGAGCCACTGCACCCGGCCTAGAATCTTTTGCAGGCTCTGCTTCTTCTCCATCACCAGGAATTGGATCCTCAAGATTCAACCCTGGCTTTTCTCCCTGGCACACATATTTCCTCTTGAGGCAATACCTCCCAGGCCACTGCCTTCATTCACATCTAGATCTCCATCAGATCTCTCTGCTCAGACAGAGGTGGGTCCAGGATCCACTGAGAAACATATGAGGCTGGAGGAGCAGGTGGCTTACTCGTGTAATACTAGCACTTTGGGAGACTGAGGTGGGCAGATCACCTGAAGTCAGCAGTTTGAGACCAGCTTGGCCAACATGGTGAAACCCTGGCTCTACTAAAAATACAAAACATTGGCCAGGCGCAGTGGCTCACGCCTGTAATCCCAACACTTTGGGAGGCCAAAGTGAGTGGATCATTTGGGATCATTTGAGGTCAGGAGCTTGAGACCAGCTTGGCCAACATGGTGAAACCCCACCTCTACTAAAAATACAAAAATTAGCCAGGCACGGTGGCAGGCACCTGTAGTCCCAGCTACTCTGGAGGCTGAGGTAGGAGAATTGCTTGAACTGGGGAGGCAGAGGTTGCAATGAGCTGAGATCGTGCCACTGCACTCCAGCCTGGGCAACAAAAGAGACTCTGTCTCAAAAAAAAAAAAAAAAAGGAAGAAGAAAAAAAGAACCATATAAGATGCCAAATGGAAAATAAGGACTGGGTCCTGGGATCACCCTGTGTTCTCTCTCATCTCATCCCATCTGATCCCAGTTGTGCCTGTAGGCTCAGCATCCACTAGAGTCCAGGTCAAGTCAGACTGCACTCTGACGAGTGCTCCCAAAGAGTTCCATTTAGGGCATACTGGGCACCAGGAGGCAAAAAGTTAGGCCCTACCACCCCCAAAGGGAGCTAGGTACCCCATGATCCTTACCCCTAATCTCTATCATTTCCCCAGTTCTCATGTCTGGAAGGGACACAGCAGAGCCAGAGGATTGGACCTACCCTTCCTCGTTCTCCATTTGCCCTAACTTCTGAGTTGAACATCACCAGAGAGAGGTCTGGATATACTTGCACTGGTGTCATCCCTGGAGGATGGGCTCTCACTCTCTATGGAAGGGGTTCCTATTTGCACAGCCATGGCCCACCTGCACACAGGAGGCCAACACTGCTGGCTTTGGAGAAGCTGTACAAGGCAACTGGTTGAATCGGTCCTGAGAGAGTGAACAGTCAATCCTCAACCATGGACAGGGCCAGAGACTGGACTCACCCACAGCTGGGGACTGGGGGTGTCAAGATGGGGCTTCCTGACTGCACCCCATGAGACCCTGGCCCTTGGGACCCTACTCTTCCTTTCTTTCCACCAGCAAAGAAAAGGCTAGAATTACTGACCCCAGAGGAACAGGAGATTTTGCAGTTCCTGCTAGATACCTTGGCTACACTTAAAGGCACCAAGGACCTCACCATCAGTGCTGAGGCTCTGGGAAGCTAAGAGGCACCAGATGAGGCCTATGGCACTGCTGGGTGAACTAGGCACTTGTCTTTAGGAGTGCCTGGACCCCTCTGTATAAGCAGGGAAAATACAGAGCAACTAGAGGATCCTGGGGTCACATGGGCAGGAAAAAGGGCTAGTACCCAGTCCCTAAATGAAGTATACCACCACCCTCCTGTGATTGCCAATAGGCTTCCACCTGACCCTAACTACCAAATAAGGCACCACTGCAAGGGTCAAGGTCCAAGAGTTGTGGCAATATTTCTTTTTTTTTTTTTTTTTTTGAGACGGAGTCTCGCTCTGTAGCCCAGGCTG